CCCTGATACCACGCTTTGCACCCCCACGCCACCTTGCGTCCTGCACCCGACCTGTGCACTTCCCCCCAGGGCCTCCCAGCTTCCTTTAAACTTGGGGAGCAGCAGTGTTGGGGTCTAGCGTGAGCCCAGCAGGGGAGGCTTTGGGGGAGGAAAGTGAGAAATGGGGGGATCCTCCCCCCCCCCAAGGAAAAGAGCACGAGACAATGAGATGGGTGAGGGTGGGAGGCAGAAGAATGCATTCTTGGACCACCCACCCTCCCCTGCTGAGGCTGTTCTGCTGAGCAGCAGCTGCTAGGCACAGCTCGTACGTGGGTGGGTGAGGAGCAATTTGTGCCTTTGGTACCTATGCACTGCCCCTTGCGCTCTGTCTCCAAGCTGGGACAAGCCAGCCACATGCCAACAGCTAATGAAGCTGTCTGGGGAGACTGGTGCCAGCAGGAACGGGGCTTGGCTGGCGGCCAGGCCGAGTGACTGGAGCTCGCCAATCCGGCTCCATGGAGCAGTGAGGCAGTAGGAACAGGAATTCGAGGCCCTTCAGTCACAGCTTGGAGGCCTCACTTCTCCCCGCAGGTACTGCAAAAGTCGTCTCCTCTGCAGCTCCGTCTCCACCCCATTTCTATCCCCAGCTCTTTTCTCCCTCGCCCTGTGCCCCTTCTCTCAAACTCGCCTTGCCTCTGATTTAACATAACCACGTATGTTTCAAGGCGTCTTCCATCCCGAATGCCTTCAGAGCTATGAACAGCCAGTTCTGGGGTGGGGCTATGTGACAATCAGGATCCAGACACCCCAAGGGAAGAACAAGGGGTCTGGAAACTAACTTCAGGTACCCATCCATTGTCCAGCCAGGGAAAGACAATGGTAGACCATTAGAGATAATGGGAAAACATGGAAACAACTTGAAACTGAAAAGAAAACCCTGGTCTTGGAAAACTAAGACCTGGTCTACACCAGAAAATTAGGTCAGTATAACTACCTCGTTCAGGGGTGTGAAAAATCCATACCCCCAAGTGGCAAAGTTAAGCCAACCCAAGTCCCTATGCAGACAACGCTAGGTCAGTGGAAGAATTCTTCTAGTTACTGCCTCTTGGGGAGGTGGATTATCTATGCTAATGGAAGCATTTCAAGTGTAGACAAGCCCACGCTGCCGGAGAGGCAGGACTTTCCCCCACCATGAATCACCATAGTCTGAGTGAAAGGAAAAGAATGGCAAAGTGTTAAAAGGGAGGGGGTTTGACGAAACCGAGAGCCAGCATGTAGGCAGGGCGCTGTTTGTGAAACGCTGGTCCCCTCTATGATGGGTACACTGGGAAATTGTCCAGAGGCAATAAGTATCTCATATTAGAAAAGGGAATTTAGCTAGTAGAGAAGTGGAAAGCCTAAAGTTGCGTCCGTATGTGTATTTTCTGTGTGGCTTGTCTGCGTTAGCTCTCCCTCACTACCTCAGCTTTGAGTCTGTGGTTTTTCTATTCATTATACCTTCTGATTATTTTTACCCCCAGGTCTGTGCTGTGCAAACAGTGCGGATTGTGTGTGACAAACTGAGCTGATGAACCAGAGGGGGAAAGTCTGCGTGTCTGGTAGTTGAGAACTCGGGGAGATGATTCGGGGAGACTTGCGACTGAAAGGGCTGGTGTGGTCACCCTGAAAGGAGTAACTAGGTTAGTGGAAGTCAAGGTGAGACCTTTATGCTTGTGGGCTGGCTACTGGTGTCAGGGCTCTGAGCCAAAGCAGCGTCACATTAAGACACCCAAAATTACAGGGCAGGTGGTGACAGAACCCTTAATGCTCTGAGTGATCCCCAAAACATCCAGCATACAGCCCCACCACCACTGGGGCAGACCCTTCCCTCCTCTTCTGTAAAGTGCCCTGCACCTTTAATGACGGTGCAAAGCAACGTCCTTAGAAGGGTCCTGCTGGATTTTGAATGTGTGGTTCCAGAGACCCTGCACTCCCTAACCCTGACCCCAGCCCCTTAAGCCGCTGGGCCGTGGAGTTTATACCAGCTGCCCTTTGCCTCGTACGGGGTACGGCTTGCGTGGCAGATGCTTTGAGGGGCAGAGCCATCTCGTCAGGGGTGGTCGCTGGCATCTTTGGCACGTCAGAGGCAGCTGGAGGGGGGATCCGAGGAAAGGGAGAAGGAAGGAAAGGACAAGAGGCAAAAGAAAGAAAGGATGGCTGGCTGGCTGGCTGGCTGCAGAAGAGGCAGGAGGGAGAGAAGATTCTTTCCCCACTCCCCGGCAGGAGCAGGGACCAGAGGGAATGAGGTGCTGGAATCTCCCAAGGAGGTCATAGCCCCAGGAGGACAATGCTGCGGGTAACCACAATTCCTGGTAAAGAGGAGGAATGGAGAGGAAAGTCCCACCCACTCCAGCCCTCGCCCAGCAGAGGCCCTGAGGAGCAGCATCTGTACCCCAAGCCCCCTAGCCCTGCCTTGGAGGGGGCTCCCGAAGCATGGTGTCCCTGTGAGCGCTGACCCTGCTGATGAGAATGCAGGTCTGAGCCACTGTGGGGACCAGCTGGTCAGAGAGCCCCCAGCCTGCTGCTCGGCACCTGCCCACAGCAGGGTCCAGCCAGACACACTTTTACGGGAGGCTCATCAAAGTATTTTTCAACTATCCCTCTACACCCACCTCCCGCCGGCATGGGGAGGGGTGTGCTGGTTTGTTATAGTAGGGCTACTCCCAGGTACTGGTTTGTTATTGTAGGGTCGCTGATGAGTGCTGGGTGTACTGGCTTGTTGTTTTAAGGTCTCCCCCAAGTCTGGTCTGTGTGAACTGGTTTGTTATTGTAGGGTCACCCCCCAGACTGATCTGTGTGCACTGATTTGTTAGTGTAGGGTTGCTTGTGAACGTTGGGCCACTGACATTTTCTGGGGAAATTAAAGACACTCTCCCCCCGGCCCAGTCTGCAGGATGCACAGGCCAGCAGTTGGGGGGGGGGAGCATCTGTGTGAGGAGCCAAGACCCTCAGGTCTCCTTCTCACACCTGGGAAAGTGGAGCAAAGGCCCCAGAGTGAATGGCTGGTGCTGGGGGGTGGGGCTGAAAGGATGAAATGGGGCTGGGGAAGAGAAACTCGAGCCTGAGGAGCAGGAGGTTAAGCCCTCTGGACTAGGAGGGGCTAGAGACAAGGGGGTGCAGGACTTTGGGGCAGGAGTAGAGAGCCTGGCAGGTTGGGAGTGGGCAAAGAGACTGGCTAAAGGGACCTGTGAGGCTGGAGGGGGTATGGGGCAAAGGGTGGAGTTGGGGGGCTATGGGGCAGGGGGGATATGGGGAAAGGGGTGAAGTTGGGGGGTCTGGGGACTATGGGGAAAAGGGGGTGGGGGGGTAGGGATGGAAACTGGGAGCGCTTGAGGCTCTAAAGATGGGGTTTGGTTCCTGAACAATGCCATCCCAATGTCCGCCAGCAGGTGGCGCTGCAGGATCACTAATGGGGAGCCGCGGGGGGCGGAGCTAATCGGGGCTGTGGGAGGTGTCTCGAGTGGCTAGGGGCGGGGTTATGAAAACGCTCTGTCTCATGCGAGGGAGCGAGGAACAAGAGACAGTCCCAAGCCGAGGCGTTAGGGACCATCACAAAAGGAGGAGAAATCAAGCCGTGATTAGAGAGAGCCCTGGCTTTAGCTGGAGAGCTTTGGAGGAGCCCAGGCCGGGCCACGTGCATGAGGTTCCCAAGAGATGAGGAGCCAGGTCTGAATCTCCTGGAGGCCACCCCAAACAGAGCGACTTTCTTGGCGCTAGGGTGAGTAGACGTCCAAATATTAGGGGCTTTGTCTTATATAGGACTCTATTACCCCTCCTTCCTTTACCAATGTTTCACACTTGCTATCTGGTGATCACCCTATTTGGAACCCTGGCCATGTGGCTGTGCTGCATTAACCCATTCTGTCACCCTGGGTCCACTCCAGACATGTTTCCTGCCCCTGCTAAAGAGCAAGATGTCAAAAGATAGTCCCCCCCACACTTTAGGGTGACCAGATGTCCCGTTTATATAGGGACAGTCCTGTTTTGGGGTACTTTTTCTTATATAGGCGCCTATTACCTCCCCACCCCCATCCCGGTTTTTCACAGGTGCTATCTGCTCACCCTAGCACACTTACACATTTGATCCGCACTGCTCCTAATGAAAAATCACCAGCCGTTCCCTTTTCTCAGAGAGACTCCTGGCCCTACAGTGCTGTGAGGACACACTCAGCAGCCATGCGGGCTGAAGGCAGACCGGACCGTTTTTCATGTACACAAGGCCATGAAACAAATCTGCTGTCCCGAAGTAAAATAAATATTTCAGCCCCCTCAAAGCCATGGTACGAAGCCGCAGGGTGCAGAAGTTCACTGCAAAGATAACAAATGCAGGCTCCCCGGGAGCGCTGCTGCCACCGAAGGAAAAACATTTAACAAAAACAGACACGTCCCAGGCTGACGCTGTGCATACGTCCAGAGTGATTTTAATGGATGAGTTATAAACCCCTCAAAAAATCAAGCCCTGTAATGGAAAAAGTGACAGTCTTAATTCTGCATGGCACAGTAATAGGAGCATGCCAGGACCCACATGCATTACAGACAGGAGAGACCAATAGGGAAAAATGACCCATGTGCTATAAAACTTTATTTGTTGATCATAAAAGACGCTGGGCATGCCCAGTTTACAGAAATGGATTGAAATGTACCAAGCCCTCGCTGAAGTAAGTATCACACAGCTAGGCAATTCTCCTTCATTCAATTTTCATTTTTTTTCTTGCTATTGATAATCTGGGGTGTTAAAGGGAAGGAAATGATCATTCTGAAAATAGGATTTTTACCATAGCCGGGTCCTTTAGTGATGTTTGAGCCGACAGCTATTTGCAGCAGGATTGTTTTTACAAAATTAACGACTGCCAAAGCTGCATGAGGGAGGCAGTGCTGCCTAGTGGCTGGAGTGCTGGATTGGGACTCAGGAGATCTGGGTTCTATTCCTAGCTCTGCCACTGGCCAACTAGATGACCTTGGGCAAGTCACTCCCCCGCTCTGTGCCTCAGTTTCCCCATCTGTATAATGACCTGACCTCCTTTGTAAAGTGCTTTGAGATCTACTGATGAAAAGCACCTTGTAAGAGTTTGGGGGGGTTATTAGTGGTCGTCATTGGGATGTTTTGAATCTTACTCTGACAGGGTGACAATGATTCCTGTGCTCTCATCCCCACCCTGCAGGTGGGAGGATGTGACAGTGGCACTTACTTCACGCCGACCCACTGCACAGGCCTGGCCATCCCCAAAAGGGATCAAAGTGCTGGTTGCTTTGGGAGACAGCGGAAGAGATTTTGGAAGTGGCTGAAATATTCTAAAGAGCCTAGGGCGACCTGGATGCCCAAGCCCCATTTGTTTGAATGAGAAAAGGGCATGCAAATCCCTTCCTATGGTTTTGAAAGTCTCCGGCAGTGTCTGTAGGGCCCGACCCTCACTGAGGAGCAAGTGAGCATTGGCTCGCTGCGTTGATCAACAAGTGTGCCGGCACTAGTGACAGCCCTGCAAAAGAAGGAGCCAGCTCTTTACTGGTGAAACTGAAGATTCAACTAGGGTATGTTCTGGCTCTGCTAGTACCAAACAAAATTCAAATTGACTCTCACGCAGCGCTTTAGGTGGTGTAACTACAAATGATCAATCCGCCTATTCAGTCCTTAAATAACAGTAATAGTTCTGGAGTTCTTTATGGATCTTGGGCCAGGTTCTGCTCTCTGTTACACCATTGTCAATCTGAAATAACCCCATCGACGTCACTCCTCCTTTATAGTGAACAGAATTTGGTCTGTTAACCAGTTAATTCTCCCAACCCCCACCCTCCCCTTTAGCATGCAGAGAATTTCATGGTACCGAGACCGGGTTTAAACCCGTGTCCGTGGAAGGCTGGCATTCCCCCAGGAGGCGCGGCCAATGTCAGCCATCTTGCATCCTACCCAAAAGCTTTGATCAGACTTTTCATGCCAATTTGCAAACGGCTAATCGAATAAGGCGAGGAATCATTTGCCGTCGCAGTTCAGACCCATCCAATCGGGAGGATCCAGGCGCTCTCCTCTGGGACGTTCACTTTAATAAGGACCATTTAATTTGCTCTTTGGCAGATTGCAGAACCTATTAAGGAAGTGGGGGGAGGGAAAGGAGAAGAAAAACAGAGAGACATTAAGCCCCACAGCCTCAGGGATTCTGCAAATGGATTACGACTCCATATGACCTCAGCAGGACTCCTTCACGGGCACCAAGAGACCCATTTGGTGCCAACATAAACCTGCCCCATTCAAGAGAGGGAGATTTCTGATTCTCCAGGAGACAAGCAGGGTGGTTTGCATCCTGATTTCCCTCAAACAGCCACTAGGTGGCAGATGTGCCTCTTCGATACAGCAGGAGTGGCACCTGTGTAGCAAGGGCTCCTGAGAAGGGGGTGAATAAATCTGCCTGTTTATTTCTACAGCTGAAGAGGGCTCTACCCGAGCCAGCAAACTCCATTCCAGGAGTTAGGTATGTCCGGGAACCCCATTTTAGCCTCAGTCGGCATCCTGGACACCAAGCACCAATCAGCAGGTGCTACCCCACCAACAGTTTGCTGGGGCTAGAGTTGGATCCTAAAAAGAACCCCTGGTTTGAACATCCCCGGATCTAGGAGGCCTTCACATTGGGGTCTGCATATCACAGCTCAGGGGAAATGCTGGCTGGAACTGATGTTTAAAACCAGGCCCCTCGCACCTGTCCACCAAATACAGTTCCTGATCCAACGTAGAGGGTAGATTTTTTTTCCAAGGAGCAAAGACATCAGTGCTGATGGGAACTGGCTTTAGACCTTACTGGGCACTCCAAGCTGCGATCACCCTGGAGACACATGCCAATTACATACCACAGAGGGCGTTTAGCAGCCAGGAAAGGGAATCCGGTGGTTGGGACCATTACAACAGGTGACCACGTACTGTCAAAGAACCCGGGCAACTCTAGTCGTGGTTTAATATCATTTTTTAGCCACCCCACCCTCAATCTCAAATGGGCTTCTCCGTCCAGCCCTTCTGACCACCCGGCAACTTGCACAGCTGGGCGTGTCTATGGGTGGAAACGCGCTAAGCCCCCTGGGACAAGGGGAATTAGTACAGAAGAGAGAGGCAATTCCCTACGAGTGGTATGATGCCAGCCATGCACCAAGGTGAGTGGGCACAGCACGCACTGGCTGCACTGTGTATACAGAGCCGACACCAGGGCAAGGAGGTGTTTTCCAGCTGGGTCTTTGGAGGTGAGGGAAGGAAGGGGTTAAGGGAAGTGACTTGGGTGCTGCAGCCACAGGCAACAGAGGCATGTGCAGAGAGGGGCCCAGCTGTGGGAGGCACTTACTCGGCCTGGCGTGAGAAGGTGGTTAGTGCTGGGTTAGACACGGACAGCCCAGCCCGCGGGGCTCATGCTGACGGGATTAGTCTAGACAGAAAGACCTGCAAGGAGAGAGCGCGTGAGGGGCATCGCAAGGTTCCTGCTGATACTCCCCGGCAGACCCTGTCTTTCCAGCAGCCTGGAGAACTCCCCCTCCCCCCGCCCAGCATGTGATGTAAGGAGCCTGCCCAGAGAGGGACGCCCTGTCTCCAAGCCACCCACTCACCTTGCCCCATCCTGAGTGGCTATTTGAGGAACCAGGTGGAGCTGGGGGCTTGGTCTGCCGACTCACAAACCTGCTGTGGGCGCTCGGGCGCTTTGTTACAAGGCTGGACGCAGCAGAGCCAAGCCTGCTAGCGGCACGTGAGTTCCAGGCATAGCACATTTCCATTCCAATGTTTTCCCAGCCTCCCGGCCACCCCCAAAGTGTTGCCTAGTGGTGAGTGCGGGAATTGGGAGTCAGGACGCCTGGGTTTTGTTCTTGGCTCAGGAAGGGGAGTGTGGTCTGGTGATTGGGAGTCAGGACTCCGGGGTTCTAGTCTAGAGGGAGGTGGGAGTCGGCTGGGGGGTTAGAGCAGAAGATTAAAAATCAGGACTGGTGAGTTCCCTCTCCTGCGTTTGACATGCTGTGTGAACTTGGCCAATTCACTTCACCTCTCCGTGCCACAAGGCCTTTAAATGGGGCTAAAGATACACATCACGGGGGGCACGGAAACTTCTTTGGCCACGGAAAGGGATATTGACACACTGCTGTGAGTGGGACCTGGTGATTTAAAGGCTGACAGCTCCCAATGTTGGGAGGTGCTGTACTGATGCTACAGGTGCAAGGGAAGGGGGGATTCCAACAAACCCCTCCATGCAGACAGCCCCAAGGGGTAGAAGAACCCCTCTAAGGGTCTGGGTGCCCCCAGGGACTGGGACTATAGAATACCCACTACTCCTCCTTGTGTGACAGCCTTGCCAGGGCGCTCCCAATGGCTAGCAGTGAGCCCTGGAGCTGATCCCTGCAGCGCATGGTGTCTATCTCCTCCAGGCTGATGCCCCAAGGGCAGTCACTTCACCAGGCCTCCTCCACTGCCCAGGAGCTGCCCTCCCATGCCAGCCCCCAGAGAGGAAAGGGGAGTCCTGGGACCCTTACCTGGGCAACGCTTTGCTCAGACAGAGGGCTGTCGTCCACCTAAAGGAAGGAAAAGGACAGGGAAGTTTAAGGAGGGAGATGGCTGGGGGACGGGGATGGGAGCCAGTTGATGGATCAGACAGGGTACATGGAGGGAGCAGATCAGAGGGGCTCGGATAATTTATAGTGCGTTCATGGTGCAGGTGACAATGGCCAGGAGACAGAGTGGGAGCTAACCCGGGGCAGCCCGAAGGGAGGCGCAGAAACCAACCTGCGGCTTCTCTGGCTCTCTCCAGGCTGCGCCTTTCTGAGCTGCAGCCTCTTGCCTTGGCTTGGCAGGAGGTGCAGGCTGGCAGCGAGGGCTGAAGCGTGGGTGGTCGTTCTGTGTAGGTGCAGCTTGGGGCTGGGCTGCGTGCGTGGGGGGGAGATCACGCAGGCTGGAGGGCAAGCTCCCCTCCACTAGACGTGATGGGTGCTGTGCTAGGGGGTGTGCGCCTGCACCGCTCCCCAAGGGCGCTAGCGCGTCTGCACGCGCCTTCGCCTTCAGCCAGGCCACCTGCTTTGGGATCCCATCGCTACAAGGAAGCTAGGTAGATGCAGGCTGGCTCAGCACTTGGATGGGGGACCCTGCATGAGATTTTTCAAAAGCACTCATAGGGACTTGCTTGCCTCATTCCTTAGCAAGGCCCTAAAGCCAATGCCTGAGTGTGACAGGGTGCTAAGCAGAAAGCTGCTAAGCCAACCCTCTGTCACTCCAGCTCCAGTTAAGGGAGGTGAATTGGAGATGGGTGGATCACCTGGCCCTAACTGGGGAAGCTGGAACAGCTGCTGCCTCATCAGGCTGGGGCTGGATAAAAGCCCCAGGAGACGGAAGCCAGGACTGGAGCTGGGAAGAGGGGAAGCTGCACTAAGGGGAGGAGTATCAGAGGGGTAGCCGTGTTAGTCTGAATCTGTAAAAAGCAACAGAGGGTCCTGTGGCACCTTTAAGACTAACAGAAGTATTGGGAGCATAAGCTTTCGTGGGTAAGAACCTCACTTAGGGGAGGAGTAGCTTGTCCCCTCTCTCCTGCTGGTAGACAAGCAGAAAGGGATTGTGCGTATTGTGGTGAAAAGGTGGTGGGAACACTACTTGTAAAATAAAGCACCAGGTGAGCACTGCAACGAAGGACTCTGAGTGACTTTCTCAGCCCAGCGGGGGCAGCAACCCGGTGGGCCCAGCAGGGACCCTGCTACACTGAGGCGAGGGTGAGCTGTTCTCTGGAGAGTCAGATTTGGGGCAACACACAAACCTGAGGTCATTATGACTGTTTGCCAGCACTAAAGACCCGTAGGCACTTCGGGGCATTAACCCCAATGACCTGGCCTTGTTCCCAGTCAGGTGATCGTGTCCTAATTTCCCTCTGTAGGTTCATCTGAATGAAACAGGCTGCACTTCCTGTTGTGCTGGGCGGCTGTTAAAACAGCTGCCATGTTCCACCCCCGAGGTGGCTGCATTTCAGCCATGGGTGGAGTGAGCCCGGCAGAGCCCTCCCCTGCCTTATGGGAGTTTTATGAGGTGAAGCACTTTGGGATCCTCAGACAGAGCCGTGCACGACATTACGACGGTTATTCTTATTGGCCCACACACAGGCGCATTGCAAGAGAACCCCTGATGAAGGTTCGCTCAGCTGCCCTGCAGTCCACGGCTCAGCCCCCTGGAGCCCCTTGGAGTGACATCATGGCGGTGGAATCCCGTTCTCCTTCCCAGCTGCCTGTGGCCACGCCGCTATCAGCCCAGGGTTTGTGTTACGCAAACACCGAGCGCGCCAGAGAGAGCAGCGCCTCCCGTCGCAGCTGTTCCCAACAATCTTGGGGGGAGCTGGATTAGGAAACGCCATGCGGCTGGCGTGTCCGCTGTATTTGTTTACTCTGTTCTCAAATAGAACAACCGCCTCCGCTCTGGCTAATGACATGCCCGGGCAGCTCTGGGCTCACGTGCTCCCATTGCATCAGTACAGATCAGTTGCTGTGGAAGAAGCAAGTCTTGCTTGGGACAGTTCTACTTCTCCCCTTTGCTTCCGAGTTAGGCCCTGGTCCAAGCACGGCAAGCGTAGCTCTGGACGTGCTCAGCGGACAGCGCACAGTTAATGTAACTCAGTGTGTTCACGGAGCCCCGTGTGCCCTGTGGCAACCATGCTGGATTTTCCACCCCCACCATACAACAGTGCATGCTGGGAAACTCTGCTGGCTATCCCACAATGCCTTAGCTGTTAGTGCACAGGACTGCCCGTGCAGTGTGCTCTGGGATATCCTCCTGGGAGGCAGGACGACTGGTTCATTTGATTACATCTACTCAGTTAGACCATCCAACAGCAGGACAACCATGTCAGAAGCTGGCAATGACTAGATAACCGCGTCCTGGGCAGAGTTGTTATACCGTAACCCCACAAGGTTCGGGACCCAGCTACGCCTTGACGTGAACTTTGTACGGGGACAACCTCAGTACAAATGGGTATTGCCGAAAACTCCTTAGCAGGCAGCGAAATTCTCACTCTGTTAGCGTTGCTTAGATCTCTCCTTGAGCCCAGAGTTCAAATGGGACAACCCCAGAAGCAAGCACACACGGCTACTCCAGGCTTGGAACGATCCAATTAGCTTCAATCCATTTTGAAGGCACTTGGGAGAACTTGGTTTTTTTACAATATTTTTATCAACAAACTCCATCCTGGCCAGAAATAAACGTGGATACTCCTTGCTAGTTAGTCAAAAGCTAGCAACAGTTGAGATTTGCAATAGGTTTGTTGATAAAAATCATGTGCCATCGTTAATATTCCATAATCATATCTGTCCGATACCGTTGAAGGCAGCAGGAGACTCTAGTTCTCTATGAGAGTACGGTATCCTACTGGGAACATTTTAAAAAGTGCTCAAAGCCCAGCAGCTCTGTTTAGGTGCCTAAATGGGAGATGTTGGGTGCTGGATCCGTGTGAAAATCTGTCCCTTCCCGCTCCCGCTGTCAGTTTTGTTTGTTAAAGATTTGGGGATGGAGCAGAAACTAACAATGAATAAGAAAACAGAATCTCTCCAAGCCTGACAGCCACTCCAAAGTCACCCGTGGCATGCAGAAGAGGGCGTGACCTACCCAGCTAGCCCACGGCCACGTAGCGGGGCCACGTGTGACATGCTTAGAAGGAAGTGACCTCACACCTGCTTCCCAGCTGGCCGCTGCCTATTTGCCGCCGCTGGCAGGCACGGATTCACTTTGCTCTGAGTTACTGGCGATGTAATCAAAGAGAACAAACCCGTACGCCGCAGGCTCCGAGACCGTCTGGGGTGGAGAGAGTTAAAGAGGGAGATTAAAGCAGAGGGCTCCAAGGGCAGAGAAGTGAAGGGGAGCAGCGGGAAGCACTCACCCTGAAGTTCACCTTCTGGATCACTTGCTGAGGATCGCTCTCCAGAATCACCCTAGGACCAGGGGGAGCAATGGGATTTTCCAATCAGATCACAGCTCTCTTAAGGGCGCTTCCATGGTGCGTTTGCTCCCCGTTGCTACAAAATGGGACGTGAGTTCTGAGCTGGGGCAAGGGGCCAGATGGTCAGCTGTGGAAACTGACCCCCTCTCCTTGCCCCAGGAACGGGTACAGCATAGGCCCTAGCAGGGCAAGCTTTTCCCCCCTCCCCACCAGCGCACCTCAGCTCTGATAGGGCACTGGACCGGGACTCAGGAGATGTGGGTTCAATTCCCACACTGGCCTGCTGAGTGGCCAGAGTTTCCCCATCTGTAAAATGGGGGCGGTGATACTGCCCTCTTTTGCAAAGCGCTTTGAGAGCTCTGGACAGCAAGGTGCGCGATGTAAGAACCGGGTCGTGGTGTTAGCGGTGGGTGTGAAGTTCCGTTGTCTTGGCCTGTTCGGTACTCGGCTGACAAAGGGGTCGGCTAGCGCCGACAGTGGCTGTGGTTGGTCCACTGGGGGCTGGATTGAGACTTGCCAAACTCAGTTCACGTTGGCCATCAGCAGCCACCAGATGGTAAAGGCTCTGGGTTACTACCGACATGGGCTAGATTTGAACTGGAGACCCAGAGACGGGAGGTTCGTGCCCCGAGCCAGCCGCCGGCCCGCACCCAACACTGTACTGGGAACCTTGGCTCTGACGCCTCCTTCGTCCTCCCAGGACCTTCAGGCTTTTGGCCTCTCTCCCCTCAGTGCCTGACTAGCCCATCTGCCCTCTCCCTCTCTTCCCCGCCCCAGCTCCGAGCGAAGCCCCAGAGAGCAACTGCACATGGCGCCTCACCCCCCGTCGACGATCTCATCCACCACGAGGAACACCCCGTCCAGGTTGTCCAGCAGGGAGCGCTTCTCTACATTCTTCCTGAGGGCAAGACAGTATGAGCCGGTGAGAGTTTGGGACGCTCCGTAGCACCAGCACCCAGACCCGGCGCTGCTCCGGAGCACTGAGTCCCAGCGCAGCTGCAGAGACCTCCCCCCACTCCCAGCCCCCTTTGCCTCCCAGCTGCTCAGGAGACCAGAGGCCCTCATGTGTTGGGGGAAAGGTGACACCCGCTGTCTCATTCCAAGGCCCTGCAGCGGGAACTGGTCTCCAGCTCTACGGCATGCCTAGCATACGGGGGTCTCATGCTGAGAGCAATCAGCTGGGAGCCAGGTCTCCTGGGTTCCCTTCCAGCAACAAGAGCAGGTGCGATCTAGTGGTTACAGCGTGGAATAGGAGTCAGGACTCCTGGGCGTCGCCACTGAGTCTCTGGGTGACCTTGGGTGAGTCACTTTCCCTCTCTGTGCCTCAGTTTCCCCATCTGTAAAATGGAGAGCATAGCAGCCACCCCACAGTGGGCTGCTATTGAGGTATTCTGCTAGCACCCATGGTGTGCTAGGCACTGCCAATCAGGCTTGATTCCTTTGTGTGGGTAAAGGGCTTTGAGACAATGCAAAGGGCTGATGTTATTAGAGCCAGTTTGGGACCCTGGAACCTGTCCCTGGGCAATCTTGCTAGATGGGATAGGGAGCTCTGGCCGTCGCCATGTACTCACCGTAACATGTGACTGAGGGAGTCGAAGAGACAGGCGAGAACTGCCACTAGCATCAGCTAAAGGAGGAGAAGGAGACATGGATCAATGCGGCGCAGAGCTGCCCACAGGGCCCTCCCTCCCACGCTCGCTCTCCCAGCAGCCCCTGGGTCCCAGGGTGCCTGACAGACAGCAATCGTATTACTGGCAGCTGGACAGAAAGCCATGGCTACAGCGTCCACAAGTCTCCTAGGAACATGCATCGGGCACGTCAGGGAAGAGGAGACAAATCCCCCCTCAAACCCCTGTGGGGCAGGGCAAGGGCAGACAGAGCCGGGGCAGGGCCTGAGGACGTGAAGGGCCGTCCATGTGCAGGGCCCGGTGAGTGGGAACGGAGTGCCTCTCTCCCACAGGACAGGGTGAGCGGGGAAAGAGAAGAAACTCCCAGCAGCAAGCGGGCCCTCCCGCTCTGTTATCCTCTGGGAGGAGCGGGCCCCAGGGAGTTACCTCATTTTCCTGGGAACTCCCCACCACGTAGAAAAAGAGGTCGATGCTGCTTTTATAGACAATGGTCAGCCCCTCCAGAAAGGCGATCTCACCTGACACAACGGGAGGGAAGGAGAAGGGGGGGAAGGGGGCGGTGTTAGGCTGGCGCTGAGCACAGATCTCTGTAACGTAAGAACAGGCCGTCCAGACGGGGAGATGGGACGGGAAACCTGGCTCACCCCTACAGCAGGGCAGCGGGTGGAGCATCCACACCATGGGAGGGCCATCAAATGCTTTAAGTTCCTGGTCGTCTCCTTTCGCCATCAACAGTCCAGTGAGCCCAGCATGGCAATGCTGCTTCTGATTTGCCAGCAAGTGACTGTGACGGCCCCAGTGCATTCTGGGACTCCTGAAGCCTCTCCACGTCTTACAGCTTCCTACCCACCCTTGGACGCAGTATTGTAAACGGCACGGGGCTGAACTAAAGACCTCATCTCAGGTGTTGCAAGCTCCGCTTGTCAACCTCCTGGGCCAGCAGTTGTGTGACATGAGATGTTGTACAGGCCTTGCCAGCGTCCTTGTGCTATTCTTTGGAGTGATCTGAGATGATCACCTCCAGGGTGTTATCGTCAATATCATGACCCCTCCCTGGACTGCAATGCCAGTGGGAGAAAGACGTTATCACATAACCCAAGGGATGCACAACTGCCGGCAAACTTCAAGTAGCACCTAGCGATATAAACAGCCAGTGGCCTGCAGGAACATATAGGAAAACCCTCCTCTCCATCTTCTGGTCCCCTACCCAAAACTCAGCTACTTACTGTCAGTTTTGTGGGTTTTATCGAAAACACTCCTCTCAAAGGTCTTCTGTTCTTTCGTGGATGGAAAGGTGTCGTCGTAGTACTGCAGGGGACGGGAACAAAGGAGTTAGCGCAGCCATGGGACCAGCCAATGGGACAGGCAGAAAAAGGAAGGAGAGCTTGGCTAGATGGAACCAATCATGGACAGAGAATCAATCCAGAGACCCCAGAAAGGCTATCTATACTGACAGGCATGTTCAAGAACAGTTTGGAGTGGCTGGGAAATCGTCAGGTAAATAGGTTTGGGATCACTGTTTATCTCAGCACGTCAAGGCCGCTTCATTGTCCCGCTTCAAATTCTTTCCTTAAAACTTGCCTGGGCAGTGGTGCCCTCAAAACCTGGCCATCGGAGAGGTGTGATGAGATCGCTGCTCACCATGCCCACCAGTACTGTGTTATTTCCATGTGCTCCCCTCATTGGTCTGTCTCTCGCACCTCGCCCCCCCGGGCTCCTCGTCCATGAATGGGGTTTTTAGATGCTACCGCAATACCAATCATCATAACCTAGAAGTCGCAATCAATGTCCATTACCCCGGGAGCGTCCATAACAATCATAGATGCAAGAAATTATAAAGATCAACTAGCCCCACACCCAGCCAGTGTATATAACGCAGTCCCGGCCCACTCAGCGGAGGTCTCAGAAAATACCATTCCGTCTGGGGTGAACATTTAAAACGGCAAATGCTGCTAACATGGGGAACTTGCCAGGTGTCTTACAGACAGCTATGAGGACAAGGCTCATAATTTGAACAAAGGCTGGGAGGAATGGAGACAGCAAAGCAAGTGACTGATGGGTTTTGTTTGCTTCCTGTCATGTTAGTTCCATGATTTGTGTGTGTGTGTTAACACTTAACTGTATATAGGTGTTGCCTGATCTATTGATTGTGTATTAATTACATTGATTACACTCTGAGGTTTGGTAGGTTCTTATCCGAAGATCATGCCCAGTAGTATAATTATTATCACCACCAGTGGTCGTCCACCTGGCCTCTCCCAGGGCTCAGAGGCCGGGTTGCTGACACCCCTATGCCTAAGGCATACTCCCCTCTTCCTTGTTTGTATTTCCTCAACCTGCTACTGTTGGGGTACCCTTCTCCCATAGGTCACTAGTCAGATTAACTCAAGCTTATTAGCATATATGTCAATTAGTTACCATGGCATTCTTGTGGTCAGACATCTGCTGATGTTCCTAATGTAAAATATCCCAAACTGCTACAGACTAGCATCTTGTGGTTACCTGTCAGCCGTTCAGTCACTGCAGCAGCATTCTCTCCTGTGGTAACTTAGATCTAGGTTAGCTATTGTCTTACAGGCCTTGTAGGCTCATGACGTTGCTGCCTTATCTAGCAAGTACCTACAGGGCACACAGACCTCCTGGAGGAAGTGTGATTTGAGGAGGTCTACCGGCTCAGGTCAGTGGCAGTCTTCCAGGTGCTGGGAGATGAGCATGGGGACATTACAATCACAGGACCCAATCCTGCAACTGGATCTGTGCTTAGCATGTGTCCCAGCTAGAGTTAGCAAAGAGCTTCTGAGAGCAGGGTGAGTGTCATCACCCCCATTTTATAGATGGGAGAACCTGAGGCACAGAGAGGTGAAATGACTTGCCCAAGGCCACACAGTGCCAAGAATAGAACCCAGGAGTCCTGGTGGGTGCCTTCTGTGCTGGCCCATATGGCCAAGGACTTAACTTTTGCCCAGGTAGCTTTATACATCTCCTAAAAGCACGCCAGGCTGCGGCACAAGAGAAATTAACCTTGTCTAGAACTGCCGTGGAAGGGCAGAGGCCTCCATAAAGCCATGATGCCCCTGGCTTTGCTGCTCGCCCCACAGGAGCGTCTTGCCCACCTTGCTGGGAGGCCAGAGACCTGGGGTTAGGGTTTTCTTCTAGGGCAGGTGGGTGGCATTTACCTTGGCTAAGAGTCGCTGTCCATCATTGTCCAAGATGAATATGGCCTTGACTGTGTAGAGGGAAGGCTCCTGAAACTGACACAAGGACAGCGTGAAGCCAGAGGCTGCATCTAGCAGCCCCCAAGGTATGTCCAGAACGCAGGTGCCTCCCGTGCCCCAGGACTGGGACTGCGACCCCTCCCCCCCATCCCCGAGTGACCCTGAAATGGGGCCACAGCACAGTTTCCTCCCAGTGAAAGCGCACAGAAAGCCTGGCACTCTGCGCCTGGCCTTGTTCTGATTCACTTCCATCCCTGTGAGGCCAAAGGCCCCGCTCCATGCCGGAGCCCCAGGGCCAGAGGGGATTTGAGGGCTAGGGGTGGTCTGCGAAAGGGTCCATCCAAACCCAAGTTCTGTCATGCACTGACTGCTCCAGAGTCCAAGTCCAAGTGTACCACAGAACCTGGGCCGAGAGGACTGAGATGGGCCTGGCACCGGAACCTGGACTGGGACGGTTCACAGGGACCTGGCCCCGGAACCAGAGCTGAGAGAGGGGCCTGGCCCCAGAACCTGGACTGGGACGGTTCACAAGGACCTGGCACCAGAGCTGAGAGAGGGGCTTGGCCCCAGAACCTGGACTGGGACGGTTCACAAGGACCTGGCCCCAGAACCTGGACTGGGCCGGTTCACAAGGACCTGGCACCACAGCTGAGAGAGGGACCTGGCCCCAGAACCTGGACTGGGACGGTTCACAAGGACCTGGCACCAGAGCTGAGAGAGGGACCTGGCCACAGAACCTGGACTGGGACGGTTCACAAGGACCTGGCACCAGAACTGAGAGATGGGCCTGGTACCAGAACCTGGACTGGGACGGTTCACAGGGACCTGGCACCAGAACCAGAGCTGAGAGATGGGCCTGGTACCAGAACCTGGACTGGGACCCTTCACAGGGACCTGGCACCAGAACCAGAGCTGAGAGAGGGGCCTGGCCCCAGAACCTGGACTGGGACGGTTCACAAGGACCTGGCACCAGAACTGAGAGATGGGCTTGGCCCCAGAACCTGGACGGTTCACAGGGACCTGGCCCCAGAACCAGAGCTGAGAGATGCGCCTGGTACCAGAACCTGGACTGGGATGGTTCACAGGGACCTGGCCCCAGAACCAGAGCTGAGAGATGCGCCTGGTACCAGAACCTGGACTGGGACGGTTCACAAGGACCTGGCACCAGAACCAGAGCTGAGAGAGGGGCCTGGCCCCAGAACCTGGACTGGGACGGTTCACAGGGACCTGGCCCCAGAACCTGGACTGGGACGGTTCACAGGGACCTGGCCCCAGGCCCCCTGAGATCAGCTGCTGCAGTAGGTTCCCCTCCAGCCCCCTGGCACTGCCCTTTTCCCCAGCGCTGTCCCCCCTGCCCCCATCTCTTCGGCCCCGGGGGCTCTGCCTCCTGGGACTCCCCGCACCGGGGTCTCCCCCTGCAACCTCCCGGAACCCCCCTGGCTCTTGCCCGGGGGTCCCCTCCCCGGCTCTGCCCCCGGAGCTGCCAGCGCAGAAAGTTTTGCCCGGCGGCCGGGAAGTTGGCGGAGCCCCGGTCCCCGGGAGCCGCCCGCGCTCCCGTCCCCGCAGCCCCCCGTACCAGCAGCCTCGTGGGGTCCATGGCTCCCGCGGCTGCTGCAGCTGCCCGGTCCCCGCCGCTTCCGCCCCCCAGGGCAGCCCCTTCGGGGTGCTGACGTGGCCGGGCCTCGGCCCGCTGCATCCCGCTGCACGGAGCGCTCGGCCGGGCCGCTCCGCCCCATGCACCGCGCCGCGCCCCCTGGGAGCTGTACGAAGGGCGTAGCTGGGGGGGGTTGCAGTCCTGGGGGGCTGGGCTGCCCTCGCCACTGGACCATCTAAGGAGAGCGACCCCCAGGGCAACCTGCACTAACGGGGGGTGGGGGGAATCGGGGGTCCCCCCCGAGTTTCCCCCGCAACTGGGATCCCTCCACCCGCAATAGTCGAGAGCCTGCCCCCACCCCACCAGCCTTGCAATAATGAGGGGGGCTCGTAGCTAAAATCAGGCGCCTCCCCCGCACCCACCACACTCAGAAATAATGGAGGGACCTAGGGTGATTCCCCCCCCCCCCCAACACATTAAGCTGTCTCCTCTGCAGTCAGCAATGGGGGTGGGGGGAGAGAGAGAGAAAAGTGGGGGAGGGTTATTCCCTCAATGGGCTTCCCCCTGCACCCTGCAATAATAGGAAGCCTCTGGGGGGACCCCACGGCAGCCGGCAGCAATGTGGGTGATCTGGAGAGCTGTGTCCCCCCCCACCAAAAATATCAGGGAAGATGGGAGGATCTGGTGGTTCAGGTGAGTCCATGTAGTTATGTATGTGTCGCCTGGGGTTGCGGGCAGGCGGAAGGTGAAGGCCTGGCAGATGGCCCAGAGGTGTGTTTACATGGGGGCTCTTCGCAGCAGGCTTGGGAAGATAAGGATTCTAGCTCCACTGTGGAAGAGCTCCCGGCTAACCGGATCCCTTGGGTCCGGCGGCTCAAACTCAGGGGACCTCTGTGTCACCTGTGGAGGGGACCATGGAAGCAAGAAGAATCCAGGGCAGAGCATGGGGAGAAAGAGAGAGTGGGTGGGTGTGTCTGTGCATACTCACAGCCGGGCCCAGGAACAGGCTGGGATTGGCACAGGAGAGAAAATGGCTTGTAAGTGAGTGAGTGAGAAACCGGAGCTAATAGCGGAGGAGCAGGAACCAGCCTGGCTGGAGAGGCATGGGGACTGCATCAAGGTGTTATGGGGTTCTGCGTGCTTAGTTGTGTGACGTCTCAGGCAGGCGTCCGTAATACGCTCTGAGCTGGGGCTTCGGGTTATGGGAACTTAAGTGGGGGTGATCAGAAGTTTAGTGACTGGTGAAGGTGATCTCTCTAATCACCCAGTATCTGAGTGCTGCCTTTTGGGTGGAGGGCACTTGTCATCGGGCTCAGATGGGACAGGAGAGATCACGGCTTTTCTGGAATAGCTCCACGGGGAAGCGTCTGTTTCTCTCCCTCCTTCCTGCATTCTGAGGGGCTGGGGAGCGAAGTCTCTATGGGATGGCATGCGTTGTACATGCCTCCAGAAGTAGCTGTGATTCCTGTGGAGCAGGTTGGCGGGCTGGACCGAGTAGGTGGGTGTACATCTGAAAGGGGAATTAGAAGATCAGGTGCAGTAGCCTCAAGGGCAATCCTTTTCAGTGTGGTCTGTGCATTTGCCTTTGGCACTGCTACCAGAAGCAGCAGCAGACACACTAACGTTAATCCTTTCTTTGTCGGTTCTTGACGGCACCTGTTGTCCTGCCATCGACCATCAAATATTACAGTGGAATATTACAGAGGACACATTCCTGTAATCCCACCAATTCTCTCCTTCTCTGGGCCCCCCTCTAAGACACACACCTCTGTGCTCTTTGGCTGTACCCGGCTATTCAGCCGCACACCACACACACCCCTGCACACCACACTCTCTCTTTTGACATTAGGTAATTCAAGTCTCATTACTCATCCCCGACGCTGCTGAAATGGTGTAACAGGGTTGCTTGCTAGATTTCTCAATGACTCACAGAAATGCCACCTGTTTTACTTCCTTGTTTGCTGTCACCTTTGGGATTGCAGGCAAATGATGAGATGGAAGGAGACAGACTCCTGCACTGGTGACTGGGGGACAGATCCTCTAAAGTTCCCAGCATGTTGGGTGCTGAGGGTCAGAGTAGGGGGCCGCTGAAAAGCTGGCCCTGAGGACTGGGTGATGGGCTCTTTTGCAAATCTGGCCTTGGCTGTGGCCCTTATTTTCACCTTTCAGCATTGAACTTTTGAAGCTGTTATAGTGAATTTCCAAGCATGCCTGTGCCCCCACGAGAGACGAAGCCTGCCGACTTTTGCTGAGGCTTCACTCCCGCTGCTGTCTGGGAGTTCTGCCCGAGCGAGGACTGTAGGATTCACCCCCATCTTTAGAAAATGCCCAGCCATGACTCTTCTCTGCGGAGGAAATGCTCTTTCCTCCCCTCCAGTAAGTTTCCCTTTTATATCTCACAATGATTGGTACCATTCTCTTGTACCTAGAACCATAGAAATGTTGGGCTGGAAGGAATCTGAAGAAGACATCTAACCCATCCACCCGCAGTCAGGCAGGCTTAAATCATAGAATATCAGGGTTGGAAGGGACCTCAGGAGGTCATCTAGTCCCACCCCCTGCTCAAAGCAGGATCAATCCCCAGACAGATTTTTTGCCTCAAATGGTCCCCTCAAGGACTGAGTTCACAACCCTGGGTTTAGCAGGCCAATACTCAAACCACTGAGCTATCCCTCCCTAGGCCATCCCTGACAGGTGTTTGTCCAACCTGTTCTTAAAACCCACCAGTGATGGGGATTTTACAACCTCCCTTGGAAGCCTAGTCCAGAGCTTCACTACCCTGGGAGCTAGAAAGTGTTTCTTAATATTTAACCTAAATCTCCCTTGCTGCAAATCAAGCCGATCCCTTCTTGTCGTATCCTCGCTGGGCATGGAGAACAATTGATCGCTGTCCTTGTCACATCGCGACTTTCAGGGCAACCTGCACTGTGTACCCAAGTCTTTCTTTGTGTATGAGTCACCCGCTGCAATGACTTCCCAGCCTCCACATGGGTCATCCCTGGGGATTGAACCCAAGACCCTCTGGAATAAATGCACAGACTTCTGCCACTTGAGCTAAAGGAGTAAAGCCATTAATTGGCAGCAACAGTAGGCTCTTATCCTCGTATGTAGGCCACTGAACCGGTAGGTTATACTTATGTTAGCCCCTTTCATAGTCAGATGCAGAAAACAGTATCTAAAATAGCCTCACGGCGCCCCTGTGAATTAGGTAGGTACCGTTGTCCCCAGGAAGAGTCAGTGGCAGAGCCAGAATTAGAGGTTTAGGCTCACAGTTCCCATCACGTTACAGCCTTTAAGCCCTGTAACACTGGAATGTATTGGGCCAAGTTCAGTTTGGGTAAATCTTATGGGTCCTGGGCTTGCTTATGCATGATCTGAATCTGGCACCATGTCTTTGGAGCTGTTTTAGTCAAACCCAGGGCAGCTCCTCCATTGTCATGAGGCCTAATGAACTTACTAAAGATACGGATGTCAGACGTAGAGGGTCCAGTTGTCTGGATCTGTTTGGAAACCGATGGGAGATGTTGAGGGAAAGGTTGGGAAATATTGCAGTGCGGGAGACTCCAGACTTGAAGGGTTAAAAAGGACAATGGAAAGGTTTTAACCTGTATGTGTCCATCTGTGTGCGCGCGCGTGCTGGAGATGGGTTGATTCACTTTAAAAAATACTACTGCATTCAGCGCTGAGCTTGAATAAAGGGGACAAGCCAGCAGCAATAAACGACATCACTTCACCCCTCCCGAGGAACTACGCTTTTGGTCTATTCCATTCTGTCCTGTGCTATAGAGGTTCTTCTGTTGCTCATCACTGTAGTATCCAAGCGCCTTCCAGTTACTTCATTTAGCATCGTGGCCTTTCCTCTCCCTGCCTCTTCCCAGGGGCAGAAGCGTGTGCAGCGGAATGTCATAGCGTGGCTGGGTTTTGTTTTGTTTGGAAAATAGACACATTGCTCTGGGTTCATGCTAGAGGAGGCGGGTCAAAGAAATGCGCCTTGTCCCTGGAACAGAAAGTGGGGAGGTGTGAGATAGAACTTTCCCAGGGGCTGGTTCAAGACTACCTCGCACCAAGATGAGCCGAGGGTTACACAGGCAGGCCTCCCTCGGCCTCCCATCCCTCCTAGTGCCAGAGACTGCAAAGGGAGCGTGCTGGGCACAGCAGGGGAAGTCGAGGCGCGCTCTGTGCTCTGGCAGAGGGGCAGATACTGTGAATTAGAGCAGTCCCGGCGCTGTTCTTACTTACGCCAGGAGCTGCACTGACCCATCGGGCTACCCAAAATCTTGCAGGAGAAAAGGTGGCTTAAAGCCACCCCTCTCCTGAGCTCCTTCCCTCTGCTGCAGCTCCACAGCACAGACTTGGGGCCAGAACATGCTATAGAAGTGTCTAAGTACGGTTATTATTATTAAGGGCTTCGCACCCAAGCTGTGCTGTCCCTCCACGCAGCCAGTTGGTGGGGATTTCAGTTTCCTGCAGCATGCTGCGACCTTTTCACTCCCGGCTGCCACATGCTGCTTCTGAAGAAGGCTGGCTGTCTCTTTCCATCCCCCGAGCAAAATGCGAGGGATGCATCAATTAGCAAGGGCTCGCTTCGGCCCTATTGAAGTCCAGGGGAGTTTTGCTCTTGATGTCAGTGGGAAAAGGCCTAGGCCTTAAACCAGGCGTGCACCTCAGTGCAGGAGATGAAGGCGTTTGTGCATGAAAAGAGGATGGAGAGCAGAAGCCTTCAAAAAATATCCTGATGAATGTAAGCGTTGGTGAGAGGTGATGTATAAACAGCTATAGGGGCCAGAGGTCTCTTTCTCTCTCTTGAGACTGCTAAGAAAAGGCCAATTCGGGTCCATTCTGAGACAGGGTCTTGTGATGCAGGGACACTTATTAATTGGAAATTGACTAAGAGTTGAGACCCACCAAACTCATTCCACTGAACAGCTGTCAGCAGGCAATAATGACTTTTGGTCTCAACTGATCCGGACTGAATTTGAACGGATGGCATCCCCTCACTAAATTCATTAGTCCAGTCCCACATTTAGAGGTGTCATTAGGCCGTTTAGACCAGTCCAGCAAAGCCCTCTCTATATAATATAGTAAATGATACCGGAGCAAGGCAATAGGGAAAGGCGTAAATTATATGAT